TTTTTTTTTTCCTTTCTCACGCAGATGCAGAATTTTGGCCAGTATGCAGGTGACACGATTCGACACCACAGGCGGCTTTTGACACCCCTAGTTCTTTGATGTTGGTTTGTTGTGTTGGGGCCTTCAGACAAGACTTCATATTGAATTCAAATTAAACTTGTGGCTTTATTTGTAAGGTATCTTTATGTTTGGAGGCTGGGAGGTGATTTATTTTGTGTTTGAGCTGTAAAGTTTGTTTGCTCTGGAAATAGTAGTCTCATGGGGTTGGCTAGCTTAGTTGCAGCGTCTCAGTTTTACTTTGAGTTTGGATCGTGAGCACTGGTGCATCACAAGGAAAACTGCACATTTACAGTATCGCCAAGTTCACCAGTCAAGTGTGAAATTGCTCTTCTGTCAGCCTGTGACCCCAATATGACTGAAAGTCTGTGATCCTGCTCCTCTCTCACAAACTTACGAAAATGTCCAGTCAACAGCTCCCATTATCTGTAATGAGAGGCCAGTGACAGTCTGTGAGGGAAGCATTTTTCAGTTCTAGATTTAGACACGTCCTGCTTTTAGAAGATATGAAACTTTTCCATCTACATTGACAAGATGGATACAAAGTACTAACATTTTAAATTATAGCTATACTGTAAGGAAGGAGATTTGATCTGAACCTACGCATTCTGATCTTCTCATTCAGCATACTTTTACATCCAAAAGCGACTGATAGTTCAGCATTTACACAATGCAGGATTAAATGCTCTGCTCTTCATTCGAATGACGGGCTGATGATGATCATATACCTACAATACATAATTCTTCATGATCTTGCTAAGCAGGCTGTCTTCCATCATTACCTAACGCCAGGTTTGATTTACGTGTTAATTCCCATCGTTGCCACGGGAACAAGTTGCCTAGGTTGTCTTGAAAGAATTGTCGATGGTAGATTTTACCCTCTGGTTTTACACAGCCAGCTCTGATGAAATAAATTTTCTCTGTAGGAGAACCTGATGACAGAGACCAGTCCAAACTGGAGATGAAGATATGGGACCCAGAGTGTCCGCTGACCAACAAACAGATTGACCAGTTTCTTGTGATTGCTCGGTATGTTTTTGATGCTTTCAAGATTTTAGCTATGCCTTATTAAAAAATCAAACATGCATTTTAA